CATTTTGTAGGCAAGGGTGCTGGAGCTCCATTGGCATTCAGATGTATCAAGAGTAACGGAGGTCCAATCCCTATGACTTTAGTTGGAGTTACACGAATATACCCTATTCTCTACAGGGAGAGGTAATCCAATTTTCATTGTATCTTCATTCTTCACAAGTCAGGTGTAGAGGAAATTCTGCTTTATTTGATGGGAGTTAATTATTTTAGGTTTTTTTTTGGTCGAATTTATTTTAGGTTAAGTAGTGGAGATTCCATTGTCAGATCAGAGAGGATGGAGATGAAAATCAGGCAGCTGTATAATCAGAGGTGGGCCCTACAGTACCAGAAAAATTCAACTATCAATGCTAATATGGACATTACCCATTGTATTAGTTGATGGCACATCTTCTGAAATTCTTCTAGAACAATGCTTGTTGCATCCTCATACAAACTATGCGTTTCATTCTGAAGTTATGATATACTCCTCTTGCTCAGATGGGAAATAGAGATCATTCTGAATGGAGCAATGTGTTAGTGATCTCCTCCTACTAAGTCTTCTCTCTGAATGCTTTGCTGAATTGCAGAAGAAAGATTTTTCGGAAGAAAGAGGTCCACAACCTGAGTTTCAGCGAAGATGTCCATCCTAATAACGGATACAATATAATAAGATTGTAAACGATTGTCAAATAGTTATGCAGGGGAAAACGACTTTGGTAATTTTGCAGTTTTACAGGATTGTTAGGCATTGCCGTTATCCTTGAAATAGCATGTGAATATTTTCCAATAAATTCAAAAGATGCATTACGAATGTTTTGATGGTCATATGAATAATGGTCCTGACATTCGAGAATAGTAGAGCTCTAAGGAGAAAACGCTGCATCAAATTCTTAATTGTAGTTCTGGAATTGTCTTTGATCTCATTGGCTCATCTGGCTGCAGGCGTTCCTTGGTCATTGATGGTGCCGTTTCCGAATTTCAACGGAGTACCAAAGACTTTCATCTTTCTAATGACAGCGATAGTGAGGAGGGAGCGAAAATATCAAAGTTACTTGAGATGTCTGCTGAACCTGAAGTTCTAATGGCCGAGATGAGTCCTGAACAGTTGAATTCTTTCGCTGCTTATCGATCGAAATTGGAAGTAGGTCTCAGATTCTTGCTTGATCAATTACATACTAGCAATAATTATTCACGGTATGTCTGTCTCAGTTGACTAGGCAATCTGACATGGAGAAATCTATTGAGAAAGCTCTGCAAGATGCTGGTTTAACTGAGAGGGAAGTCACTGCATTTATGAGGGCGAGGGTGGTAGGGCTAAAAAGAAACACTTACCATGGAAAATGTAGTCATGAAGAGGGATTTATAACAATCTGGAACCCAACTGAGAAGCAGGTAAATTTAGGTATATATTATGCTGCTTTAGGCATGCTGGCAAGATCTGTGCTTTGCATTTTGATTTTCATTGCAAGTGAATGTTTGGTTGTTGCCACAGCAACACGATTTGATTGAGGGGCAGGCATATGCTATCACTGAGCTTGTTCCAGCAAAGTCCAATTCAGATACCATTTACCTACAGGCAAGAGGACCCGCCACAAAATGGCGGCGTCTATCTTCTCGAGAAGTTGAAAATTTCAAGTGAGACCCTTTTGGATTGTTCTGTTCCTTCTTACGACAGTTTAGAATTGCAACCTCATAGCTATTCACTGCAGGCCATTCTTCAGTCCCCGCAAAGCCATTTCTCTATCGAATCTGGGTGAAATTCCTCTTTCCAGGTACGTATATCTTATCAAGGTTAAAATTATACAAGCTTAATTTTCCAGATCATGCAGACCAACAAGGTTGGTATTTGGATGCTTCAGTGAATTCGATATTGCTGCTTTTGTTCTATACGTGGGAGAGGTTTACACAACGGCCCACCAAAAAAGGCAGTGGATCTTTGTGACAGATGGTTCTAAAGTTGAGATGCAGGCTGGCAAATATGACACTTCTTTACTTGCCATCAGCTTCTCCTTCCCTCCGATTGATGATGATTCGTTTGTTCCAATCAATTACAACCTTGCAGGATCGACGGTAAGCATCATGCAATTAAGTCTAACGCAATCAACTCCAGATGAAGATGAAACTTTGGATTTATAACATGCTGTTTTTGATAGTGCTGAGGTGAGAACAAGAGAGTAAAGAATGTACTTAACTGCAGTTGACATGGTCCAAATTTTTTCTAAAGAATACGTCATCATTACTCTGGACAAGATATCCATGAATGAGAGTTTCATCAAGTATTAGAGATGGCTGACACAAGGTAATCACGCCAATGTAAAATTAAGGCTCTACAGGACACTGGAAAGCATTTTGGCATAACCTAGATGTAGTTACTCTATTTCAGGTGTTTTTTGTTTTCAATGTGAGAAACTTTAGTTGTCCAGAGAATTTCCTGTCCACTTTGGCTGTCTATCTTGAATTAAGGGTTTTCATCCTGTATCTGTATATCTTACAATGTTCTTGTTGATATGACAGGTCCCATGTCAGCAAATCTGTTCCCACAGTTCTACTTCCTGATTAAAGTTCTTATTGGTCCACTTTGCATTGTCTTGCAGGTTGGGTTCTGTAATCTTATTAAAAGAGCAAAAGACCAAATGAATCATCTCTGGGTAGCAGAAGCAACAGAAAATTCCAACTACTTTCTTAGCTTTGACCCTCCCTGTTATTGTCACCTTAAAGAAGCTGCTCTGTCTACTCACGGATGGGCAAAAGTCTCTGAGTTGGTATGGAGTTCAAAAATTTCATGGCAACAATTTGGCATTGGTGATGATGATTTCTATTAAATAATCTTTGCATTTACCCCGAAACAGGTAATTGATGAGCTAAAGGAGAGGGTGTTATTTATTATTGGTGATTGCAAAAGCTAGATGGTAAAGATGACGATGCAACCTTGATTGTAAGTTTACTTATTGTATAGCCTCTCTTACTCTCACCTTTTGGTTGTAGTGGAACCCATGCATTGGCAATGGTACCAAATGCTTGAGACACAGAAATAGCAACTCTAGTTTAACACTTTGCTGCTGCATTCTTGATTGTCATTTTGGTGAGAACTTATGATGACATTGGGTTCATACTGTAATCTCATGTAATAGGTGGCAGTTTCAATGTGCTTAAAATCATTAAGATTCTATACCGTTTTACTAGCACTGGCAATTTGGGTTAGCATGTCATAATCGTGTTTGTAATTCGTTTTAATTATGCCAAAAAATTTGATTTTGATGAAGATCGTGTTAATTCGTATCAATGTGTCTATAGATACAGTTAGCGTGTCGTCTCGTGTCAACATTTGGGTTTTCTCTCTGTAATATATGTTTTACCTCATCTCATGTTCGTGTCATGCAAACGGGCCTGTCCAGCATTGTTAGCCCTAGTTATATTAATGATCGTTATGGATCACTTACATAGCTGAAGTCAGTAGGAGCTTTGTCCACATTTCATTAGTAGTTGGCTAATCCTTGGATATGTACTGCATTGATTCACTTGCAGAAAGAATGTGCAATTCAAGTTGATGCATGGTGCTAGTTCAGGATGCACAGTGCTTGAAGGAGCAGCATCAATTTTGTTGGTCGGTTGATAAGCCTTCAATGCGACTAACGTTCTTAAATATTTGGTTTCATTGGCCCAAAGTTGGTGCTATTCTCGGAGTTTGCTGCCATTTTGCAGATGGTATGCTGTATATTGCTCACATCTTCCTGAAGAAAGGATCCAACCATGACACAATCTTCCATTTCTTCTTGTTAAGTAAAGCTCATTTGTATAGACATGTTTGTGGTCAAATCTCGAGTTCCTAGTTAGCCCTCTAGCTGAGAAAATGTAAAAAGCCCCCGGCCAGTCTGGTGTCATACGGTTTTTGGTTACATGAAGAGTACATTATGACAAAAGCATAAGTTGTCTTCTTTAGTGCCCGTGTATATTGGGTGTTGGATTTGCTTGAAGAAGTGCTGGACTATGCACATCTTGTACAATGTATTGATGATAACTAACCTTCAAGTTGCATTTTGCAACGTATATTTTACAGATTGAGAATGGGAAGTCAAGTTCGTCTTAGTACGTAAAGTGGATGAAGAATGAGTGAGTCTTGCATGGCCCAAAGCAATCACAAGGGCTTACATGATTAACGGTCATTATGGACACGAGTCTAGGCAAGAATTTGCCATGAAGACCAGCCCTGCACATCTGGATCAACTGTCACTGATCCAAACACAAAAAAAGGCATAAAGTGCCAAGTCCTAAGCCTTCCCCTTACTCTATCTTTGTTTCCCTACCGTAGCAAATTGATAACCTTGGTCTGATTAAAGAAGAGATGGTCTTACTTTGAATGAAATCTTCTGTTTGCGGGATGATCTCCATAATTTCAAGCATGGTCCATAATACCAAAATTTCAGATGACATTACATGCAAGCCTATCCATGTCTCTGATTTCACTAAACAGGCATGGTCCCCAGGAGGGTCACACTTCTGGAGTGATTCCATGCTTTTAATCCAAAAACAGCTCCTATTTACACTCGGTTACATACTTATTCTGACACATGTACAGATGGTATTGGAGTCTCAGTGTGTGCCTTCCTTGGAGGACAATGACAATCATTTTTTCCCGTCTGCTTTGCCTGGTCGGAATCTCGTGGTCCTCAAACCAAAACCTGCACGGACTATGACCCATTATCACAGCGCGACACACCTGAGCTGCCCCAACACCGATGACCAAGAGAGCAATTTTGCCCATTTTGATTTATCTTTAATTTGGGATCAATCGACTGAAAGTAGCCTGTGAAACAAACAATCCTAACCGTGGTATAAAATCTTTTTTCTTTCTTATTGAAACCTCTCCAGAAAAAAAGTTGGTCATATCCTGGAATTCTTTTTAGCTTGAAACCATGCTACAGGACAAGTTGTGCTCACACATAATTTGCTGAAAATCATTGTCGGATCAGGGAAAAAGCATTGAAGACTGTTGTACATATTCCTTACTTTTTGGCTACTGCTTCCACCTCTATAAATAGACCAGCTTCTTGCATGAAGGCAGTTCAATATAAGGGCAAATTACCATGGCCGAGCAAAAGAAAAGTAAATTAAGAGGGTGCATCAAGACGACTACAGGCCCTTGGATAGTCCACAAAGCCGGGAAAGATGGAAGGCTTGTCACACGATATCGATTCCCTTCAGAGATTGAACGCCAAAATAACAAAAGAAGGGAATGCAAGCGACGAGCCGTGGCCAGACAGATATTTGCAGGCCTTCGAGCTCATGGAAATTATAAACTGCCTAAACATGCTGATTCCAACGACTTGCTGAAAGCTCTTTGTGAAGAAGCGGGTTGGCACGTTGAAGAGGATGGAACCATTTCCAGAAAAGTAAGTCTTCTGAACGTCGTCACAATCACAACACTCAAGTGTCACCCGTTAACTTTCTTTTCTTTTTATGCTCGTGTTGTTAGAACTTTGGTTTCTTCATGATGAACAAGTGCGATTACACGTGTATTTACAAATGATGCTGCAGAATGTTCACTCGGACTTGTCAAGCTCAAGCTCTCCAATGGTGTCATTTGAAGTTCCTGATTCTTGCACTTGTGATGATCGTGAAAATGTAGCACACACCAACTACTTTGCCTTGAAAAAAGTCTCTTCAGCCATGGAGCTCCTTCATGAAGAAAATACTAACCTCGCACTGTCATTATAATCATTACGGTCATATCATTGATAATTTTAGATAACTAGATGTTGGATCGAGGAAAGTATCTACATCTTTGTGAATATACTATAGCTACGTGGAGATATTTGGAATGAAACTAAAAAGAGATTACTCAAGGAGCAGGTTTGTGGTTGAAGGTCACAAGAGTAGTGCGATGTATTATTTATGTTCGCTTATCACTCCACAAGAAGTATCGAAATCTTATTGTTTATATTTACTTGAAACGAGTACTTCTTTTTTTAATCATATTTTTAGTTCATTTTTTTTATTTACACGATAGAGCGTGCGGTTGCCAAACTGGAAAGTGAACCTTTACCAGATTTATAATTTCCATTGTTTGTTATCATTGCCAGATGTTGATTTGACTAGTGTATGAGGGTTATTCAACTCAAAAATGCGCATCACATTACTGCACATAGAATAAGAAAAAAATGGTGGAAAAAAAGGAAAAAGAGAAAGAAATCCAGGCACCCTTTGTACATTCTTTCTTCTTTCAAGACTATTTTTTGCTTGTGGTGTGGTGGGGAGGTAAATCCATCCCAACTTCACTTTAATTGTGGCCAAACCTCAAGTTGTAAAGAAAAAGTCAAAGTAAGTAAGAAGCTATCTGAGTCACAATCCTTCGACTCTACCCTCTAATCTTTGCGTCCGATTCTGGAAAATGTGGGCGTAGAGAAGCTCGTTCCACACATCTGGCACTCCGGGCAAGCACCAATGGAAGCAATCCGCATAGCTTATCGGCTTTGCCTCTTGCTCTTTGGTTAAGGGTTCCCATTGTCGCCTATGTATGGATGGGTGTGCTTCCTTCCGGTACTCCGAGAGCTGAGTGATGTTCAGGATCTGAACCCCGAGACCTCTCGCCTTCAACCGGTCGACCACAGACTCGACGACCCGCATCATTGCCCGGTCCGACCCACTTCCCCAGTATTCTTCTTTGGTGATCGGTTCGGTTTCCTTGTAGCAGTTTTGGCCTTCGTTCCCATCCCATTCCTCGGCTCTACGACACAGAAAAGAACGTTGCCTTGCTTTATTACTTTGTAAACGAATCTTCCAACCAAAAGGGGTGCATCGATGCTATGAAAAAGTTCATACCTTTCGTGAGTTGGAGACATGCTAACAAAGAAGACTTGGGTCTTGGATCTATTCACATGTACTTCCAACCAATCCGACCATGTGCTGAGAGCCATCTCATAGGCACGTGGCATCATCACGTCTTTGTAAATTCCATCCGGACTTCCGAACGAGCCCCACCTAAATTAAGAATAATTGCCACTCGAAATTGAGGTCTAATTAGAAGTTACTTAACTCCTCTTTATTTTAAAAAGATTTGGACATAATTTACATTTATAGATGAAGAAAGAGTACTTACAAAACTTTCATTTGGGGTCTCCTCCACCAAAGATACGAATCGAAAATGAGAATGTCCGCGTCGGACCAATGCCTCGCATGCTTCTCGATGGCTTGAACCCGGACGATCCGATCGGGCACCCGGTGATTGACGGGGTCATCGGAGTTGGATTCCACTAGCAATGGTGCCCAATAGTACTCAATAGTCGCATTGTATTCCTAATTTTGTTGATAACCATTAAACTCCCAAACTCGATCCCGAAAGTAGCTAGACATCTCAAATTTTGAGACTAAAAGATATTGACATTTAAATCATTTGAAATTGCTTAGAGATAAAACTTGGATTACAACGAAAACATCATGTTGATATCAATTTCTCAAATGGCTGCTCGAACTACACATAAAAGATATGATTTTAACTCGTGATAAAACTTTATCATCTCATATTGCATCGATTCAAACTTAATTTGAATTTGCCACTGGACGCATGGTTTCTTACATTATTCGATCTGACAACTCGTCCGATCCGATTATTTATGATTTTTTAGGGGAGAGTTCAATTGAGGACAATGCCAAAATTAAAATTTATTGTTCTAGTTTACTGCGTCAAACTGGTTTTTGATTAAGAATGGGTTTTTACCATATACAGAACCTGTAGACCGATTGATTTGCATGAATGCCATGTCCATTTTCAAAGATATGTTAAGGAATGTGTAAGAATCTAGATTTCTCCTTCTGCTGCACTATAGCCAAAGCATTGAAAACTTTTTTCCTCACCTAAATCGTTGAAAAAACTGTCGTGAATTCGTTGAAAAGGACAACGTCGATAAAAACAATGTTCACGTGCCTACGTTATTGTGCTGTCTCCCATGTGAAAGAGTTCTGAGTTGGCAGGAAAGAGATGTTTGACTTACAGAGGCCTTGAAGATGATCAAGGAGTTGTTGTGCTTGAACGACATGGATTTGAGGTTCGGAGGAATGGCCGACTCGACCAGGCAAACCATGGACACCCACTGGCCTCGATTCAGCGAGTCACCCACGTACACGAGCCTCTTGTTCCTCAACCTCTCCAGCAATGCTGTGGCATTGAACCTACCCTTGTTATCACCAGACACACAGCCACGAAACTCAACTCATAAACCCTAATCAATTTCATAAGCACATCAAAACTCAACATGCTGTGTCAATCTTCGTATTCTTTGAAGCGTGTGATACTCTGTATAATGAGATTTGAATAAAAAACTGGTATACTAATGTGGTACTCAGCAAACACTCAGATTAATGAGTCGGATTCTTTAGTTTTCTTTTAAACAAAACGAATGAGTCATGATCAATACTTAATGAAAGTATATATATACCTAGGAAGGTCGCATCCGTGGGGTTGCCACCTCCATTGCTGAAACCTCAAGTCCGTCCGGCCGAACTTCTCGCAAGCCAATTGATCCGACATGTACTTGCACTCTTGCTCCTTATAGAGTGGGTACGACATGTTGTCAAACACCCACCGCCCCGAGAACAAGTCACACTCCCACTCCGGCACTGACATCGATGTGGACGGTGCTGGCGCCGGCGAAGCCATTTCGGCCGAGCTCTGTAGGATGGCCGCTCTATCTTCATCCAGCGGCGGCGGCTGCTCCGCGTCGCGGGTGAGGTAGACGACGACGATGACGACGCCGGCGATGAGGAGAGCCACCAGGGAGTGGAAGCTGGTCTTGACCCCCCACGAGGCAGCCGCTATTTGGGCTTTGTTTGCCATTGCAAAGCAAATTTCTTTTTGTGTGTGTATGCTTGGGTAGCTTGGTGTGGGAGTTAAACGTGAGTGGTTCGCTTGTGATTGAAGTTGTTCAAGAGTGTGGAGATGATGTCTTTTTGAGCGGGTTTCGTTTGGTTTCTCCTGAATTAGGGGAAGTGGAAACAGCTTTCTTGGGTAGTTTAAGGAAAGCAATTGATTGGGAAGGGTTGTCTACTTCGGTGAGTCAATTGTCCCAAACACCCATTTTTCTTTCTTTCTTAAATTATGCGTCCTTCATAATGTCCTTGGTTTTATCCACTTTGGATACCCAACCATGGTCGTCAAGAAAATGTCACTTTCCAGGCTCTCCAACCTAACCAATCTAACCAATTCAATTGGTTGCTTTATGGTTTTTTTTTTAACTAATGCTGGGTTCTCGAAAGGTCAAAAAGCTTATTGCATACATCATCTACCAAATCTTCTTCGCCCGTGGTATTATCGACATGACTCGTTCTAGTGTTCTTACGCTAAACTAATCACACATATAAAAGGGGCGGATCCCACGTCTTCTTTCCCTAAATTTACACGTAATTAGCTCTACCCATCATTTGGCCTCAAATAGAACTTATAAACTAATAATTCCAATGCAATGCTCTTGAATCTTCTGGCAATTTCACCTCATGTAAAGTTACAACGATGGCTTGAGTTGCTCGGGAAGATCAGTTGAGGGGTAATAGCGGTATGTAGCAAAGGGCTGAAAGCTATTTCAACCCAAAGAATAATAAGGAAAGAGCCAAAATCTAGCTGCGTTGCAATTTCTCTGATCCTTTTTCAAAGCTTCAATACAGTCAAAGCAAGAAAATGCGAATTAGGTTTTGGAGTGGTTGGCACTTCTACGTCTCGATTCGGTGTCTTGAAGTCACCTCAAGAAGAAAATCCTAACCTGAGTGAACGGCAGGTAGGGAAAATTTTGTATTGATTTAAAATAAATTGATTTTTTTTGTTTAAAAAATATTTACATGACTATGGGCGCTGGATTTTAAAGTATCAATTCCTGAGGACACACCGAACGAACAGCTTCATTAATTGGGATTAGAGCGGCTTGCACATGCAATCACCTATTAATTTTTAAAGAGTAAAGATAGCAGGATCCATAAATTATCTGCTCTAAATGGAAAGAGTCACGTACTCTACAAAGCCGATGCTTTGGTACGTGCATATTTGGATATTATATTCATATAAGCTGTCCAAGGTTATATTGTATAGAGATAATTATAACGATACCAATCATTATGGGAGATTATAACCTAAAGTAACTCCCAACTAAAAAGTATGAATTGGGCATACTACTTATGAACGAGTTGTTGTATTTTTTGCAATATACGAGTCTTTGTGGATGACAAAAGTTGAGCTGGACCCACCAAGAAAAGCTCCTGGGCTTGTTAATTGTCGATTTGAGAAAGAGGTTTTATAAGCAATATTTGTGAAGTTTTTTGACTTGAAGGTCAACCAGTTATGCCTCAATACAAGATAAATCTGGGCATGTCGGGTCATAAAACGACGGGCTAAGCAATATAATTAAATGTACAAAGAGGGTCTAATCACATCAAGAACATGTGAACTTCAACAAGCTGCTAGACTATAAACTCAGATGATGTGCCCATTATTATCGAATAGCAACTATTACTTACTTGAAACTTAATACAATCTCGCAGAACAATGAATTCCTCGAGCCTGTGAGATTCTCACAGACAAATCTCAGTCTGTGACTAGTTTATCATTTATAGAAGCAAGGTGTCTGGGCAGGGGTTTAGTCCCACGTCGTTTGGTGTGCACAAGTGGCGTTGCATATAAGCTTGGTTTGGCAGAAGGTAAGAAGAAAAAATGTAGGCCCCGTTTGATTCGATTTTGCAAATGTGCCTTGGGGAAAGTAAATACCTAAAATTTAAAAATCTTTGAGGAAATGCAATTTGCGTTTGGTAAAAAATACTTTGTGAAGCTGTTTTGGCTCAAGTAGTGTTTGGTAAATTTTATTTTGCAAAGGACTTTGGCTGGAATTTTTTTTTATTTTAAAAAAGCAAACCCTTCGCTGGCTCCGGCGAAGGGCTACGGCCGCCGGTGAGCTAAATCTGGTGCCAACAACCGTCGCCTGAGGTCGCGGACCCAAGTGGCCATCGCTTGGAGTCGTGCGACCAAGGCGACATCGCGGCTTGGGTCGAGCGACCTAAGCCACGACGACCACTTGAGGTCGCGCGACCCAGGCGGCCGTCGCCGAGGTGGCACAACCCAAATTTTGCCTCTCAAGCCTGCGAACTTTGTCACGCTAACAAGAGCCTCTTCCCAACATGGTCTACCCAGATTTTATGTTCTTATTACTTTTCTAACCAAGGTATTAATTACCAAATGCTGGGATATTTGTCCAAAAAGCTCTAAACTTATTATACGGTGGTTAATTCAATCCTAACATTTTCAATTTGACCAATTTAGTTCTAAATTGACGATTTAATAATATAATCATTTCGGTCAATATTGACAAAAAATTATTGATGTGGTCACCAGCTATCCTACATGATTTTTGGAATTTTTTTTAAAATTTCTAAATTTTTTTATAATTTTTCATTTTCCTTTTCCTTTTATCTTTTTTCCGTTGTTCATCTCCTGGAAAGGGGCCGCAGGGGTCGTAGGTAGTGGAAAATAGAAGAAGAGCTAGATAAGAAAAAGAAAAAAGAAATAAAAAAGATTTAGAAAATTTTAAAACATTGCAAAAATCGTCCACATTAGCGCCGGCCATCCTTCATGCCAAGTAGGATGATCAGCGACTATGTCAGTGATTTCTAGTCAAAATTGGCCAGAAGGACTATATTGGCAAATTGTCAAATGTTTTAGGACTAAATTAACAAAATTGAAAAGTTTAAGATTGAATTGATCGCAGTACAATAAGTCTAGGACTTTTTGGACAATTTCCCCACTAAATACTTCTTCAATGAAGAAATATTATGTGTGGATCCATATAAATTATTGTCGATAATGGAATTTCAATAACTAATTATTTCAAGCAATACAAGCGATTAATTTCAGGAATCTTTTTTTAAAATCATTCATTGTTCACGAAACAAACGGAATTGAAATCTAACCTCGTTTTCCCCGTTCCCTCCAATTTTGGACCGACAGAATTGTCCTGGATCTATCACTATGGGTGTGTCTATATATATAGATCAAAAGGAAAAAAGTATACCCAATCGCACAACTAGTATTTTGCAATTGCCTCTTTGCACTTCCAACTCAATATCTAAACATAGGTGTCTAAATAATGGAAAATATAAGTGTAGAGAAGTTCGTTCCACACATCTGGTAGTCCAGGGAGGCACCAGTGGAAGCAATCCGCATAGCTAATCGGATTTGCAAGCTGCTCTTTAGTTAGGGGATGCCAATATTTTCTATGGATGGTGGGGTGTGCTTCCTTGCGATACTCTGAGAGCTGCGTAATATTGAGGAGGTGAATTGTGACGCCTCGTGTTTCGAGTTTCTTGATCACTCTTTCTACCACACGCATCATCGCAAGAACTGATCCGGTTCCCCAATATCCTTTTCGCATAATTGGTTCGGTTTCACTGTAACAGCTTCCGCCAGGAATCCCACCCCAGTCCCTTGCGCTGCCATATCAGAAAGAGCAATGCCATATATTTAAGGAACTTGTGAAATTTGACATGCCAAATAACGGGCTCGAAATTAGTTGTTTGTTCAGAAACTCGGTTTAAAACACAGGTGTGGGGCTTGTTTAAATGACCAATTAAGGCCTAGTGCATGATTTTGTATACTTGGCTTTGTAAATCGTTATCGTTGGATTGTTTATACGTAAGGAAAACTATAAAACTTCTAGAAACAATATGCAAATGCATGGCATAAATATGTTAGTCAATCGACCTAGGAACCTCTCCGTAGACTTCGTTAATTCAATAGCAAGTAGATTGAAGAGCATTTGGAAAAAAGAAATGGAGACTTAAATGATCCTAACAATGTGCTTTTAAGACAAGAAAGGTGTGGAGAAATTAAGGAATATGCATGAGCCAAGTATTGCCTTACTTCCAGGGAAAATGCATCACACAACTCATTTCTACAAGTTGTAACTACAATTAGCTTTAGACAGAGAGGAATGTGGTGAAAACTTACTTTTCGTGAGACGGGGACATGCTAACGAAGAATAATAGGGTCTTTGATCTATTGACATGCGTCTCCAACCAATCTGACCAGGTATTGAGAGCCATCTCATATGCAAGAGGCATTTTCACCACTTTGTGCATTGCATTGGGACTTCCAAACGATCCCCACCTGGTCGAGATAATTAAAAGAACGGCTTCATTCAAAGGCAAATAAGTCGAAGTAGAAAAGATTAACTTCCATCTGAAAAGTATTAGTCTTAACGTGAGGTTAGCATTGACCTTATTATGTTTCTTATGCATAACCTACCCTCGTGTCTTAAAGAAACTTCAATTGATATTTGGCTTCATTTGTAAGCATCTAGCTCTCTTACTGTATTACATACTTTACTTAAAAAAGTCTCAGTCCGGGAAATTACGTTTCTATGAATTTAGGGAATAAATTCACGTCTTAAATTTAATCGTGTTGAATTGATCAACGCATCAGCAATTTAGTTGAAGGCCTAGATTCACCCACATCACCCAGGAGTACCTTGAATTTATCACGATCGCCTCAATATTTTGAGGAAATCAGTCACATCAACAAAAACCCTAAACCAACAACGACCGGCCTCCGTCAGGACTGCCCATCGTACCCACTAAGGTGCTCGATTGCAAAACTAAGAGGACCAACCACCATCTCTCTCTCTCTCTCTCTCTCTCTCTCTCTCTCTCTCTCTGCCAACCCAACAAAGGCGGCGGCTGCAGCGTGGCACTAGAAAGGCCATGTGATGATGCATAGCGACGTTAATGATGGTGGGGGCGTGTCACGGCGGTGCGGTCCGGGTGGAGGAGGGAGAAGAAAAAGAAGGAGACAGCGAGAAATAGGAAAAAGAAGAAGAAAAGAAAAAAAAAATGAGGACATATCTCAGCTGCTGAAGATTCAACAAATTGGTTGTGTCCTCTTCAACCCCTAAATTTAAAGGATGTCTACCTTAATTTATGAAGAGTACACATCTTCTCTTTATTCCCATAGGAGATAGCCAATTCGTTGTCTAAAGTCCTATAACCACCCCTCAAACCCTAGTCTAAACATCAGGACAAGTTTGTCAACATTTATGAAGAAAACAAATCCACCACTTCATTCTTGTTCAAAAGTTCTCTCCAAGTTAAATGTGTTGGCTTGTATCTTGGTGAATTGAAGAAGTCAAATTTAATCATAGAATGAGGAATCAAATTCTTAAATTAAATCATACAATTTATGTTTAAAGTTTGACATTTTCATTTTCATTTAATCTACAGTGGGAAAAACGATTTGAAACAACACGTTTACCAACTCGGGTAAAAACGAAGGTATAGGTTATTAGCTGACCAAGAAGGAGAAACGGATATTTTAAATTACCAATCCTTTAACTTAGAAAAGACACTTGTGTCCACATTGGAGGGATCAATATGCAACAGGGAAAACCTCTATTATATTAGAAAAGATACATTATTTTCACAAGATTTAAGAGGTAAAAGTTAATTTCTTCTTGTGACAAAATTAAGTTAACAAGTATTCTAGGACACTTGTTGACCAATCAAATATGAATATGCTGTAGTTTTCATGATAAGGATGGCTTTTCTTATGATATTTATAATAAACTTTTTTTGGAATTGAGACTTTTCTCACGGAGCATATGCATAATAAATGCTTGGAGACACTCGTTCAACATAATTTCTTATAGCATATACTCACAGAAGTTCCATTTCGGGTAGCCTCCACCAGAGGTAGGTGTTGAAAATGAGGAAATCTGCATCGTGCCAATGCTTGGCATGATTTTCGATGGCTTGAACTCGGACGATCCGATGATAAATCGAGTGGTTCTTAGGATCATCGCCGTTTGACTCAACTAGCAATGGCGCCCAGTAGAACTCAATCGTCGCATTATATTCCTTCACATTCATCAAACAATGCGATTGCCAAAAGTCTAACGTGTCAATATCGAGGCACCAAATTGTACATTACTTGGTTAGCCAAAAAAAATTCATTTATGATATATCGTTTGTGTCAAATATTCATCTATTCACGAAATGAATTCACTTGTCAAACTCAAAAGATGCATATTTACACCATCAGAACTTTACTCTGTAAAGATTCTTTTATATCATTGGTGTCTAAAATATAAAATATAAATTCTTTGGTTAATACCATAAAAAATCTCAAATTAGTACACTCATGTTATATTTACCCCAAATTAATTTTTGTGTTACAAAAACTCTAAAACTGGCACACCTATGTCATATTTACCACAAACTGATTTTTTTTATCATAAAAAATCTCAAACTAGTAAATGAAAATGCATAGATGGTAAAGATATATGGGGAAAAATTACCAAAAAAGTCATAAACCTATTGCAATTGTGCCAATTCAGTCCTAAACTTTTTTTTTTTCTAATTCAGTCCTAAACCTTTTGCAATTGTGCCAATTCAGTCCATCCAGCTACTTTTGGCCAGCCGGCGCTAACGTGGACACCGGCCGAAGCCGGCGGGCTGATGTGGCAATATTTTAATAATTTTTTTCGAATTTTTTTTCCTTTCTCTTTTTTTTTTCTTCCCTTCTTACCCTTGGCCGGTCCGGCTAGGGGGAGGCTCGCTAGCGAGGTGACCTCGCCGACCACTGGGGACTGGCAAGGGTGAGCCTTGCCCAGCTCCGGCGAGGGCGGAGCTCACCATGGTTGGGCGAGCTCGACCTCGCCAGATTTGGGCGAGCTTGAGCCTTGCCATGGCTATGCGACGGCGAGTGCCGGCGAGGCGAGCCTCGCCCAGCCATGGCAAGCTCTGCCCTCGCCACCGCTGGGCGAGCTCTGCCCTCGCCACCGCTGGGCGAGCTCGACCTCGCCCAGCCTCACCATGGTTGTGCGACGGCAAGGCTTGCCCTCGCTGAATTTTCTTATATATTTTTTTCCTTTCTCTATTTTTTTTTGGCCTTTCCTTCTTTCCCTGGTCCGGTGGCCGGACTGGCCAGGGGCTAGGGCCGGTGAGGTCTCGCTGGCCACTAGGGAGGCTCGCCCTCGCCGCACTGGCGAGGGCGGGGCTTGCCATGGCTGGGCGAGCTCGACCTTGCCCATAGCCATGGCGAAGTTCGACCTCGCCTAGCCATGGTGAGCTCCGCCCTCGTCGGCCCTCGCCAGAGCTGTGCGAGACTCGCCCTCGCTAGTGCCAGCGAGGACGAGCCTCCCCAGTGGCCGGCGAGCCTCCCCCCTGGCCAGATCGGCCAGGGGAAAGAAGGAAAAAGAAAAAAAAAAAGCGAAAGGAAAAAAATAAAATAAAAATTCGAAAAAAATAATATATATATATTAAAATATTTCCACGTCAGCGTCGGCCGACCACAAATGGCTGGATGGATTGAATTGGCATAATTGCAAAAGGTTTAGGATTGAATTGACAAAAAAAAAGTTTATAACTGAATTGACATAATTACAATAGGTTTCAGACTTTTTTGGTAATTTTCCCGATATATGGAGACAATCAAGAGAGTGCCATGTAGGACATAGAGCATCCACGGTCACTAAACATGGCAACGGGATAAAATTTTGTTTGTGAGTGAAGTGGTAGACTGAAGACATGAACTGTTTGGACATTTGCATTTTTCTGGTAAAATTCCGCGTGAGTCTAACGTATTCTTAAATATTGATTTGACTAAATCTAGTCAGTTTAATGACGAATATTTCCATACACCTTTAATCAAAATAATTGATAGTGGTATCAAACACTAATATATTTCACTTTTTGCCCATCGAGCACCCCATTCTATTTTGAAATATATTTCGATCGAAGGTCATTTCGATAAATATTCAAGAGGGGTCGATACTTATAAGTATAAATAAGTAACTGTGGCTAATAAATGCATAAAAATCACAGTAGGCCAGTAATTGAATGAGTAACTTTTCCTTAAGAGCCTAGAAAAAGAAAAGGAATTATTTAGTGACAGTTTAAAAGAGAGCACTTACATGAGCCCTGAAGATGCGTAATGAGGCGTTGTGGTCCGACATGGACTTGAGGCTGGGAGGGATCGCGGGCTCGACCATACAAACCAAGGAGTGCCATTGGCCACGATTCAAAGAGTCACCCACATACACCAACCTCTTGTTCCTCAGCTTCTCCAACAATGCTGTCGCATCGAATCTAACCCCATTTTCAGTGACGGAAGCAGAAAAAATAGCAACGAGCACACTATGATGCTAATGCATTCTTTAGATCAATAGAAGACCAAGAGAAGTGAGGAATGGAGTGCGCACAAGTGCTTATACCTGGGAAGGTCACAGCCATGGGGTTGCCACCTCCATTTCTGGTACTTCAGGTCCTTCCTCCCGTGAGCCTCGCATGCGATCTCCTCCGACATGTACGAGCATTGCTTCTCCTTGTACAGTGGGTACGACACGTCGTCGTACACCCACCGCCCGGAGAACAAGTCGCATTGACGGGTCGGTACCGTCGGTGTCGGGCTCCCGAGTCCAGGCCGGTCGCGCGAGAGGCATACGGTGGAGATGACAAGGACGGCGACGAGCAGAGCCACCAGGGAGTGGAAGCTGCCGGTCACTGAAGACGCCCAAGTGGGTGGTGCGATTGCAACCACCTGGGATCTGTTTGCCATGTTATTGACGCTCTCCTCCTCTCTCTCTCTTCCTTCTATAGCCTTCTTCTTGGCTTGTTGCTGAGGAGGCTCCTACTTTCTTCTGTGGTAGGTTAACTGCGGGAGGCAATGTTGACCGAGATTGGATTCCGATGCATCGGTTCCTCAAACTTCAAGGAGGAGAGGAAAAAGAGTCTACACTGCTGCTATGAAGAAATATTTAAAAAGATGGACTACTGAACAGCCCCGGAAATAAGGAGTTATTTCACGTGCCGCGCGTATGCATCTAATTATTCAATTCGAAGGCTCAAAAGTAAAATAATTCAGTTAGTCTCCCCAGATGATTAGTTTTTTTTCATGTTTATAGTAAACAAAAGAACATAATTTAATGATCACGTGCAAAGCACCCCCACTAAGCATGGGAATTTGTTTATACATTTTGCAGGGGGACATTAGATATTTGAAAAGTATAGATTCGCTTCTCTCATGTGGTGGTGGCAAGAGGAGAAAAGGCTATACATGTACCGAGAACATGTAATCTTTTGCGTTTGATAAATTGATCAGAGTTGTTATACCGTTCACAAGACGTGAAATATGATTTCCATCGATGAGGCAATATCTAACTTCGATTTGAGTTGCTATAGTTCTTTAAAAGTTAATGCTAGACACAGATTGCTTAGGACATTGAAATTTGCAAAATAGAGATTTCCTTATTTAAGAAAACCATGCTGGCACAATTATTGTCCGATTTATAAATTTATAAGCTTTTGACTTGTTGTGTACTATCAATCTTCATTAGAATATTCGGCGCAACGTGGCACGTATCCGAATGTTGTGGTAGCGTTGCAGTGGTGTTCGCCAGTAGCCGGTGGCGTGGTACCACATGTCATCCAGACTGTCCAACCATTGCCAGGCCCACGATGGCGGCTTAGCCTACTGAACGAGCGGGCCTAGTCCAGCGCTTGGGCAAGAGTGGCCTAGCTCGGCCGGCTGTGCTGGATTACGTCCGTGTACTCCGGGGAGGCACCAGTGAATGCAATCTGCATTGTTCTTAGGATTAGCTATCTGGTCTTCGGTTGGGCCATGCCATTGTCTTCTATAAATGGCTCGGTGTGCTTCTCTGTGGTACTCGGAGAGCAGTGTAGTGTAATGTTGAGGACGCGAACAGGGAGGCCTCTTATTTTGAGCCTGTCAATACTATTCTCGATCACAAGCATCATTTTGGATTAATACGACGAAAAACCCTAAACTGATACATTTATGATAATTTTACCCCAAACTAATTTTTTGACAACAAAAATCTTCAAACTGATACGCTTGTGACAAATTTGTCCAAAACTAATATTTTGACTACTAAAAACTCCAAACTAGTACATTTGCGACAAATTTACCCTCCGTTAGTTTCCGTTAAATTGGATTTATACCATAAAAAATCACAAATTGATATACTTGCGACAAATAGAGGGTAAAACATAAAATTGGCACATTAGACAATTGCCACGTGTCATTTAATAAAGCAATTTGACAGTAAATTTTAACGGAAATAAACTGAGGATAAATTTGTCACGGACGTATCAGTTTGGGGTTTTTTGTGATTAAAAAATTAATTTGGGTTAAAATTGTCACAGGTGTATCAGTTTGGGGTTTTTCGTGCTATTAACCCTACTCTTTAAAGGTGATTGGCTATGTTTTCATGTAACAGCTTTGCCCATCATCACCAACCCAACCTTCACCTCTGCAAATACAGTAAATCACTTGGCGTATCTTGTTAATGATGTTAATTCAATTCAACGTGCATATTTCTCGTTTTTCTTTTTCTTTCTAGGTTCATCGTATCATTCTCTGGGTGCAACCTTTTTACGCACTTGTTTTTCCTTTCGAACCCTATACATTAGACATTGAATTTGAATGTAAATCTTTTGATTAATCGTTGAATATGCAACGTAGATTCCCTATATCATTTACTATATTGTACTTGACTATCATTTAAGTTTTAGATGATTTTGTCAGGGTGCACATGTGTGAGCATGCAAATAATCACTAGGGATCCGTATAAACTAAGTGATATTGATCGAAAGTAGAAATTAATATTCAATTAGCTCATTACTTAATTATTTAAATTGTAAACGTTGGTTTAATTGGATATGTTAATAGATTCAAATTTCAACTCACTCTTGGTGATATTTCTAGCTAAGATGAGGTATTAAACTTCTGCAACGTGTTCAATCTTAGTATCGAGATGATGACTGCGTGGTGGTGCCTAATGAGATTTAGTCCAAGAGAATCTCAAAAAGAAATCTTAGATTTGTTTGATGGTTAGCCTGCTTTTGTTCACCCGGATTTGGATTGGGATAGGATATGATAAAGTAGGATTAGAAATCCTTCAAATATCCTTCGGATTGTAAAAAATCCTTTCCCGTGTGTTGTGCAATCCATAATAGGATTCAAAATATTTGAAAAACTCATTTGCTCACATAGGTGATACTTTCCAAATCTAGGGAAGCATCCTCTTGACGTAATCTTGAATGGCCAAGATTTTGAGCGATCACCGTTTTCGCCGGATCTCCTCCTCCTCCTCTTTTGAAATCTTTCATTTGTCAGTATAGAGTCTCAGATCTGAGCAGAGGATGGGATCGGAAGTCAAAGCATCACAACAAAATTAGGTGACCATCATTCAGGATCGACATACGAACGTCCAAAACTTTGTGCATTTTGGTATTTTTTTCTTCTTTTTCTTTTTGAAAGATGACTTTTCGGGTTGATCCATCGATTTCGGGTCATTCATCAGTGACAGCCGATTCGGTTTGACAGTCGTTGGAGGACAATTGGCTAGACGGCGATAACGATTGACGTTGGTCAGAGACGATGAGGATTGCATGGTGGTCGAGAGTTATAGGCTGCTGTAGCGACGGTCCTTGCATGGTGGCCGGCCATCGTTGGAAGGAATTTTTTTTTTTTACTTTTTTATCCAATCCGGGTCTATCCCACCCCCTAACCCGGATTTATTATTTGGCATTTTATCCAGGTTTATCCGATCCAAAAGATGTTGCCAAACATTGAATAGGATAACAAAATATCCTATCCACACTATCAATTCACAAATGGAGTAGATGATGCTCCTATATGTTCATAGGAGGGAGTTAGGGAAATTCTCCAATTAGTTCTAAACCTATTGTACATATATCAATTCAGTCACAAAATTTTTAATTTTGCCAATTTAGTACTGAACCTTTGCCGCAAAATTTCAATGTAATCTTTATGGCTAATTTTTGCCGAAATCGTTGATACAACAACGTGCCACGTAGAACGGCTAGCGATGATTGGACCGCCACGTCAGCGATTCCGGCGAAAATTTCATGCAAAATTTTTTGTATAATAATTTTAGGACTAATTGGGTAAATTCATCGGAGGGAGTTTGTGCCTAGTTATGGCCAAGGTGGAGATCAATGCGAGTTGAGATACGCTGGAGACTCTTGAACCGAGAGACTGACAGAGTGGAGATGCTTCTCTATATTCAGGATGGAGTTTATGGTTGGTTGTGGGCACGTCAGGTAAGTGGTGAAATGTGAAGTAGTTGATATGTCTGGTTGGCTTATAACTTAAATGACTTATTTAGCACTTGAGTGAAAAATCTAACAGGATATGTTAGAATTTAACTGTGCTTTTTATCATGGACGTTGCTTTTTCTCATGCACCCTAATCAAAATAATTGATGGTGGTATTGTCCATAAACACTAAGAAATTTCACTTTTTGCCCTATTTCGTCGGAATTACTTCCGTAACAAAATATCTTTCACCGAAAGTAGTTCTTCGGCTTTTAATGAAAAGAGACTAGGTTTTGTGGAAATCCCAAATAAGAAATATCTAGATAAACACAAAAATTGAACACTGTACTCCCAACGGAATTTTACAAACACAAATCATGCCCGAATTCAATCGACGTCAAGACTTAGAAAGTACAATCGATGCAAACGAACCAAACTATGACGAACTTGCTAGAATTTAATTGATGGCAAAGCTTGACAACACGATGATACTATGTCGGAATTTAATCGACAACGCAACTTCTTGGATGGAGACACACGCCGAAATCTAATCGACCATGTGAATTTGAAAGCTACTACTAAGAAAAGTAAATTGCATTACAGGAAGGTAAAGATAAAAATAAATTGGTTCGATGTATGCTGGGGAGAGGCCTTCTGATGGACTGTTGGTGGTATTTATAATGGTCTTGAAGTAATTGCCTTTTGACATTTTCAAGCGGTTGCATTCCCTTGAGTAACTTTCGTCGATCAACTCCATGTTTCTATATCTCCACAAGTCTCGCACCCACGTTCTCAAATGGTTGCTTTTGCTGTATATGAACTACTCCGGGATCTTCTTTTCTTGTAATGATGGTGTTGATGTTTGTTTGTAAAACAAACAAATAAGGTTTTTCCTTGTCCCACATAGGAAAAAAAAGGAAAGTTTTGGTCCATTTATAAATTAATGTATTATCCTTTATTGTAAATGGAGAAAATGGGTGACTGTGCTAGACCCCTATAATACCCGCGTGCGGGTGCGCGTTAAAATCGCGCACTAAACTGTCCCTTTTAGGACACGAAAATGTATGTCCAAAATTGACTGTTTTCATGCTCGAAGGGTTGTGTCCGAATTGCAACTTTTTGGGCATGAACGGTTGTGTTCGAATGGCGATTTTCAAACACGAAAGATTATGTTCGAATTATAATTTTTCGAACATGAATGAGTGTGTCTGTATTGGCAGTTAGACACCAAGAGGTGTGTTTTATTTTGCTTATATATATTGGACAATTCTGTTCAATTGACATAAATTCAGAACTCCCTTCATTTTCGTTTTCCTTAAGAGAAAAACGAGACAACCATTTTCTCAATTGTTTCGCAAAGAGTTTTAGGAGATTTACTGGAATTGCTATTCAGTATTCTCATCGTGACTTTGTTGTATCCTAAAGGGAATTTGCTAGTAACCTATTGCAGCTTCGTGGGGCAAATTGATCCTAAAAGAGAGTAATTACACGCCTCAAAGTTTGACTACATTCCGATTCCATTTCCTACAAACACATTTATCCCAACAGATGGTTGTCCCACGGTCTTGCTTTCAAGCGATAACTATTTCCTCCAAAAATGTGTGCCTTTGACCTCAACTGTCTTGCCGATTTTAAGTTTAAATTATTCATCGCCAGTGCTCACATAAGCAGCTACCGACCATCCGTCATCATATTTTGAAAATTGGTATCAAGAGCAACACGTCAATTTCTATGTTTGTCGATAAGCTGGCATATGTGCAATGACACTCGTGTGCCATGCACGTGTTTGTTCTCACTCACACGCTAGGCATGTGCTTATCGATGACCGTGATTATTTTTGGTGTCAACATGCCCATTAAGCAACCTATTTCA